TTCAGCTGCCTTGCCAACGCCCCTGAAACGCCCCTCCCGGTGGCAGACTGCATTTTTTACGAGGGCTGGGCTCGGGGCCGGTCGAGTCTGACTGTATTGTCCTCGCAGCCATGCCGCATGCCGCATTCCCCATGCACTTTTGTGCTGTTTCTATTTTTCAGCAGTCGGCCAGACAAAAAAGTACTTGTGCGAGCACTCGCAATTTCTGGCTTTGGCCAGCTACACAAAAGTGCGCCAAAAGGATTCAGTGTTTGGGAGGAGGTTCTGAAATCAGAATGCACGTGAAAATGCCAGGTGCAGGTTTTTGATTCTTTTATCCGCGTCGGTGAAATACGCTTAAATTAAAGAAATGTTAAGGGATCACGTCTCATTGTGGGTCCTTTAAATCGTTTTTGAAAGTTTTGTAAGGATATCAGTTTTAATGCAGGGAACTCCCTGTCACTAAACAAGCATTAAATAAATCGAAAAAAGATCTATAACACGAGCAATAAGGCATACCTCATCTGTTTTCTCTTTCTATTCATAACAAACCCTTCACCCAGTAACTATTCGTCGTCTAGCTGGGCGAAATGTTTATTGCATGGCAACTAGCGACAACAGCGCTATGGCAGCCTGTGAATAATGGCAGCTAACCACCCATTCCCACCCCCTGTTGCCTCATTCTGCTGCCCCGCAACCCCGATTCCAAGCCAGCTCCAAACTCACCCGTTCGCAGAAAGGCGGCCGGACCATCTCAGTGCGGGCGTATGAAAACATTACGCATACGCCCCGTGCTGCCTTGCGATAGGCTGTTGACATGCATCGGCCAACCCTCGACCCCGCCATATTGTGTCCCGTTTGTTTTAAATAAAATAGGACAAACAGAAATTAAGTTTTTTCATCTTTTGTTGCGGCACCTGCGGTGGTTAGCGAGTATGCAGGCGTGGTTGGAAGTGAAGTGTAGCTTCTCTGGCGCGTTTCAATCAATGTGGAAACTACACCCTTTCCTGGCCGAAAATCCCCCTCTCCATCCCGCTAATTACGAACGCAGTCAATCGGGAAAAAAGGCTTTTCAACTGGTCCCCATTCGTTTTGCCCCCGGCATGTGGGAACTCATTTCTCTGACTTTTGACTACTTCAAAAGCTTTTCGGTTAGTATTCCCTGAAACATGGAAAAGCCTTTTTTATGCATACCTTCAGCAGACTCGACTCCCTGATGTCAACCGACTTCCGGCCTAGTTGCCCCGATTGAATGCAGGCACCTATCCACATCTCTATCCAGCAATCCATCTACCCGAGCATCTATCTGGGCACAAATTCAGCCGCCCACCCAAGGCCAACGAAAGCCCTCAATGCGAATTAGGTGGAGAGCCACCCGACTACACATGTGGGAGGCTCTTCACCTGCTTCCCGCCCTCCTTTGCCTGGGGTTTGCCCCTATGATTGCCGTTCTAGGTGGTGCTTTCTACGACTTTCACTTGCGGCTGCAGCCGAAGAGGATTCGCTTGGATGTGTCGAGCGGAAAGTTGTTTTGAATATTTATGAAGCGCTCTTGAACAAGTCGAGGGGATAATTACAGTTGGCTGGATCGGATTGAAACAGTGTTTCCTAATCCGCGTGCAGGGGATAAGTGCTGATGGGATTAGATCGCAGAGCCCAGAAGAGGGGTGCAGTTATGGCAAGACCCGTAATCACCTTGTTTCGGGCGGCAGACGAAACCTTCGGCAGCGCAAAAGAACACCAACATACATCAATTCTGATGTTATAAACAAAAACCAGGCCTCTCTCCCCCCCAATAATATGTCACGTTTGCTCTAGACTTTGGAAACAACATTCAATGACAAGGCAAAAAACGCGCAGAGACAGAACAATATTCGCAGCAGCTGCAATAAAATTAAGTGAAACGGCATGGAAAAGAATGCAGCCGAAAAATGCAATTTGCGCGCGGTTCAGCGCGTTCGGTGGGTGGCTGGGTGGCTGGGTCGCTTGGGTGGGGACTTCGGTGGCTTCCACTGTTGCCAACTGCAAGCGCAGCACCAATTTCAAAAGGGAAGAAGAAGCTCGGCGAATGTAAATTAAACTTGTCATTAATGACATGGCCCACACGTAGAGCTGCGGATACAGCAACAAATGCAGATTCAGATTCCCAGGGATAGAGAGCGAAAATATAATTGCGCTCTTTTGGGCGACGCATCGCCAGCTTCAACACATTAAAAACTGCAGCTACTTTCTGGTGAGGGGCAGGGGGGTGGTGAGTGGGACGGGATGGGGCTGGGTTGGCAGACAGTCTCCGTCCCTGTCGCACGTCCTCGTGTGGAAGGACACTCGGCAACTGACCGTTCGGCCAGGCTACCCCTTTCGGTGACTCCACATACACACCCCCTTCGCACACACTGCCCACGCCTCTGCCGCTGTCTCTGCCTCGGCTGCTGCCTCTGCTGCGGTCGCTGCGCATACTGCTTGCCGCCTGCCATTTTCCGTTAAAAATGTGTGGAGTCAACTGTACTTCACTGGCCACACACACACTCTCACAAGCAATTTTATATACGAATTTTATTTCAATTCATTTAAAATATGTGTAATGGCTGCTTTTTTCTGCTGCTGCGGGCGCTCATCCTTTCGACTTTTGTGTTTCGATTGCCGATGGCCACCCACCACCGCCTCCTCCGCAAGCTTTTAATGGGCAGCGCGGGTGGGTGAGGATTGGAGTTGTTTCTCGCGGCCCTTGGGTGTCCGTCGCGCGTTTTTTCAATAATTAATTTTTTGCGCGTAAGTGAAATTTGCATGTAGATGAGTATACAGCGTGTGTGTAAGGACACTATACATAGGCTTTACGTACACATGCATGTACGGGTCCACCTACACATGTGCGCCAGTGGGTCCCTGAGGGGCTGTTATATACGCCCCACGAACATTCATACGGTGCATGTATTGTGTTTCTGCGATCCGCAGTTTTTGTCGCCATATATTTCTTTGAGGTTATGCCTTTTGCCCTATTTGTATGGTTTAGATCTGTATTTTTACTAGCCCCCAATACCTGTATCTACTCCTTTTTCATTTTTAGCCCAAAAGTTTTTGTTTCAAAGGAGTAAGGAATATACAAAAGATCATTCCACAAATATATATGTGTATAGGGTAGACAGTCATCAACATTCATACATTTGGAACTACAGTCCCGATAATTCGAAATGGCAAGGGGATCACTTTTTTTACGAATTAGACGGGAATTCGATTTATCGAGATTTTTATTTAACGGGGCTCAAAAATGAAAAAGTCGAATAAACGGGGTTTTTACATTTCACATCATGTTTACATATGTATTTAACTTTATTAAAATTAAACAAACATTATAAGTATGTACATTCATTTGTGCGTTTTTCAAATTTAAGGAAAATTAAACAATAACATAAAATTATAACAGCGAGAGAAACACAAAATTCATAATGCTTAGCGACATAAAGGCGGCATTGCTATCTAAAAAATCTAACGGTGCTTTAACTACAAAAAATTTCGCATCGCATTACGATTTATAAGAGGTTACGAAACAAAATTACGATTTATAAGAGGTTCAATATTCTTTGCTTTGCGCAAAATACTACGAATTAACGAGGGTACCAAAATGTATGGAATTTTTACGAATTAAGTTTTTTTCAAGGGGACAGAATTTTTTACGAATTATCGCGATTTTCGATTTACGATCTACGTAAACTAGTCTCTCAGTTATAAAGCTATCTTGCTGAAACTTTCCCAAAAGGTGTGTAATTATTGCACGCAGTATATAAGTCGGAACGGGCCGGATCTGTCACACGAGAGAATGAAATGAAAAATTCTCACGTCGATGTTTTTAATCAGATCGACTTGATTTCTTCTAACTATTATTGAATTTCGGATTGCATTTTATCAAAATATATTTATAAATACTGGAAAAATAATTATAACTTCGATGTGTTTAATCCTACGAGCATGATTTTCAAAATATGGAGTTTTTAATAACCGTTAAATCGAGAAAAATTTGTATTTAAAACCTACAACGTTGTCATATTGCTGCCTTAGGAAAAATAAAAAAAAATCGATATAGATATAACGGAACAGACAAGCATGATTTTTGGAATATATATTTTTCTAACGACTCTCGAATTAGGAATTATCAAAATCGGATAACTATATCATATAGCTGCCATATGAACAAAAGTCGAATATGGAAAATAAATAGAAATATCGTCATAGCTTCGATGATTTTAAGCCTTTATGTATTTTGTTCGACACATTTAATGAAAGCAAGGGTATAAACTATATCGAATAGGTCGCTCAGGTCAAATCGAAAAAATAACGGAAAAAATATTATAATATCATACGGGCATGTTTTTTCGCAGTTTTGTTTTTCAAGACTGTTAAATTAAACTGCTTTGATGTGTTAAAATTATAAAATATTTGTTTTTTGTCATATTAAATTTCATGAAAATCGGACGACTATATCATGTAGCTGTCATAAGAACAATTGTTGAAATAATAGAAAATTAATAGAAAGAAGGGGTCCTTCAATTTAAAAAATAGTTACAAGAATTTTGATAAAGCAGGATAGGTTTAACACAAAAAGACTAGTTTGTGGAGAGACATACTGACAGAAGTATAAAAAGGCGTAACAGGTGCCTTCTGCTTCCTATCCCCCCATTGATGTATATAAATTACAGAAGAGGATATGGCCATTTCGGGCGATCTAGTCATATTCGTTTGTCTCTCCGTCTCCAACACAGATTGCTTACGCATTGTAAGTCGTTTTCAAAACAGTGCCGCTCAAACGAGTACTCTTATAAATTTGGGAATTCTCATGTACTCAAGGGAGTGTGGTGAATAATAAACTTTGAACGCCTATTTATGCGTTTAAAATTTGAATGTATTAATAACTGACTAACTATTAACTTTGACTCAATGATCTACAAAAATAGTTACATATGTATACATATGTATCAAATTTGCACGTCACATGCTAAATGTAAAATGTAAAATGTTAATGTACTTACCAAATTGACATGCAAAGATTACTCCCTCGATAGGATTTTTTTGCTACGATGCTAATGGGTGTGTAGGGATCGCTGACTTATACCAGAAATACGACGTCTTTTTGTCTCCTCTGAACTTGTAAGGTTCTCAGAAGCGCGTGTTACCGTTATTAGTATAATAAATTGATTTTTAGCCTAGAATGTTCTTCCTATCTGAATGGAATTTTATTTTGTTTTTGTTTATCTTTTTCTCACTACTAATGTTAGGTTAATTTTTGTAAGTACGAAATGCTTTCAAAAACAGATTTTACATGCTTTTAGATCATATATAGCTTTTGCCACGATATGAACAATTTTAGATAATTTGTATGTGGATATATATTGATATAGTGATGTTCTTCGATTCGATTTATCTCCTTCTTGGTATAACGTGAACTTCTAGCACTCGCACGTTCCACACACACATACACAAATGTACACTTGTGATTGCGCAACTTTGGCACAAAACTGTTTTCTACAGTTTGCTGCTCTTCACTTGCGAAATGGTTTTTTGCCGCTTTCTTCCTTATTTCGATTGCTTCACCTCTCAAAGTTTATAAAGTGTTTCTCAGCTTGATTCATTTAAGAGTTTTTCAGAACGTTTTCTCGACCGCTTTTTTGACGAACGCAAAATTTAAGGACTAATATGAAAACCTTAACACAAAAGTTCAATTTTATAAACGACAAACATTTTCAGCTTTTTGATTTGCATATGTCCATTCGATTTTTGTTGAAGTTTTGCTTTTTTTCCGTTAAAAACACACAAAATAAATTTAACAAATTTTGGCTATTTCCTTTTTGATTTGTTTCTTTTTTTCAATTGGCTTTTGGTTTTGAATTTTAGTTTTCACTTCTGCTGTTGCATTTTCTGTTTCTGTTTCGTTGCTCTATTTTCTATTTGTTATCCTGTTATCGGTTTCAGTTATCGGTTAATATCTTGAATTCTGCTATTGGGTTGGACTTGGTTGGAGGCGGGTTGTAAGGCTATTTCTGGTTGTGATTTTGTTTCGATTTCGGTTGCTTTGCTTTGTTGTTATTCCTTTCTATTTTTCGTTGGCTATTTCGTGTGGCTATTTTTGTTTGTTTGCTTTGATTTGTTTCTGCTGGCTTGTTGGCTGTTTCCTTTTGGTTGTGTAGTTTGTTATTTGTTGCGCTTTGATTTACTTCTCTTTTTAGGTTGTTTAGTTAGGTTCTCTATTATGGTTACAATTTTCATATATTATTTTTATGCTTTTATCTTTTTTATTTATTGTTTTATTAGTTTCTTGATTTTGCAGTTGTTATCGGTTGGTTGTTTGTTGTTGTTTGTTGCAGTGGTTGTAGTTGTTGCTGTTATTGCTGTAGTTGTTGTTGCGGTGTTTGTAGTTGTTGTATTCCAAATTTGGTTGTGAATTTTGTTTGTTAAATTTTGAGAAACTAACTAAAAATCACTTTTGTTTTTTCATACAACTGAAAGTTAACTTTAATTTGTTGTACTATTTTCTTTTGTTGTTGTAGTAGTTGATGTTATAAATTTTTGTCGTAGAATTGGTTGCGTAAATTATATTCAAATCATTATTTATTTATGATAAGAATGTTTGAAATAAAGGGTTAACTAATCGCAAATAAGTTGTTATCGTTGTCGCTTTTTATTTTATTACATTTGTATTATAGTTGGATTTTCGTTCCCCTTCGCGTAGTATTATATTGACAGTATTATAGTGATTATGTTATTATTTGTTAAACAAAACAATATTTCAGTAAGTATCAACAACGTTTTAACGTAATGTTTAAAAATGTTCCAAACAGTCAAAAAGCACCTGCAAAGAAGAAGTTTCCCGATTAGTGACTTTGTCAGCAAGGCCCACCAGCAGTTTCCGGGAGGCATTATTTTGGATCTTTTGGATCTTTAAAAGTAGCAACCGAAAACTGCCAGTTGCATATTTAAAATGAATTAAGTTAATTAGTTCATGACACAACCAAAGAAAACTCAGTTCGTAGTGCTCCTGTGCTCTTGGTTCCGTGTTCCCTTCTGCTGCCTAAATAAAATCAAAACATGGCTCACACTCCCACCCGCAGACAGCGAGACAAACAACCGCAGACACATCTGCACCCATAGTCCACCCACCGCCCACATAAGCTCTATTCCTAACCCCAGACACCAGTGTTTTGTATAGGGACACGCATTGTCTAAACACCGGAGAGGAGCTCGAAGAGAGTCGCGCGAAGAGAGCCGGAGAGAGAACGCAAGGACAATGCCGGAAAGCTGTACAATATGGGAAAACTAAGCGAACAACACAATTTTCAAGTTCAAAACGCCGCCAGATGATAGATGGGGGTTCCGATAACTTTTCCCCCCAGAGGGTTGGCAACCGTAGGTGTGGGCCGCGGTCCGCGGAAAACAAAGCAAAACCCTCCAAAACTAAGCAAAACAGACACTGCGATACGATCTAATTCGCAGTCGAAAAAGCTGCGGCAACGCCAGCTTAACAAAAGTTAGGCGGCGGCGACTGCACTTCGTCCGGGGCAGATTTATGGATTGCCATACAACACGAACACGAACGCACAGGGTCTCAGATACACGGCTCGATTTTGCTGCCGTGGAACACTGCGGGTATGTGAAATACCGCCGGCACTGCTAGCTCCATCCGCCAAATACTGTAACACAAAAGTTCCGAGCAATTGAACAGAAATTAGTGAACCGCATCGGGGAGAGTCAATATCCGTGATGCGGCCGATAGTTCGGTTTGCTGTCGGGCTGGGCGAAGCGGCGAGACTATAGAGTACCACTGGATTAGCCAGGTTATGGCAATTTTTCCTAGTGCGTCACATAAAGCTAAACAAGTCTAATTAATACATTTTCTGACAAGCATCAGCCTTTTCATGAACGTCACTAGCCTTCAACCAACATTCACTTCAGATGCGAACTGCCCTACGTAAAGTTCTGCAGATACTCTGTACCTCTAATGTACAGTCAAACTTTACCAGCTTAAACTATCAGTTGGTAAAAAGAAAATTCACGTCCTAGAATTTATCTTAACAATAGTGTAACACTCTATTGTTAACAAATAAAATTGCACTTATAGACCTATTAGGTCTGGAAAGTTTCAGCAGTAAAGCTCCTTATGAAAATGTCGATTAAACACAGAATTCCGGGGTAAGGAATATAAATATATCACTGCGACTAAGACGCTTTCCCTGGGTGCCGAGAATTAGAACCAGAACCTAGAAGATTGGGTCGTAGCCCCCAAAGGAGAGCAGGAACACAAGAACTACGATTTCTTTGGGCGCGCAAAAATGATGGAAATTCACGCGAACACTTCAAGAGCCAGCGAGCTCCGCGAAACGCACCGAAAACGGCCAAAAAGATGAATATGTGCAAAAATCTTTTGCATACGCTCAAGAACCCATGAAAGCGACTGCCAAGCCGAAGCCGCAGTCGCGGTCGCTGCCGGCGTTGACGTCGGCCGCTGCAGGAGCCCCGAGAGCTGAGAGCCGAAAAGAAACTGAATAAACCATCTTCTGCGGCAGGGCGGGGGAGGAGCAGGGATGGGGGCGGTTGGCGCACAAAGCTTTTTACGGACACTCGCGCTCAGACAACAAAAACGAAACGAAAACCAAACGAAGCGAGCCAAAAAGACGACGAAAACATCGCCCCACGCCTCCGCCCCAGAGAGTCTCCCCGCGAGAGAGACAAGTGCTGCGAGAGCACTACTCAAGACTCTGCCCGTGTGTGCGTGAGAGACGGACAGAGAGCACGGCGCAGAGAGCGAGACAGCGAGAGGGGGCCAGGGCAACAGCAAAGCAACAAAAAGCGTTCGCAAAAAGTTCGCAAAAAGCAACTTGGCAGTGGAGGCGTGTGTGGATGTGCTGTATCTACATCTGTGCACACGGATACTCGCCCGTGTGCATCTGGCCCGAGTTTGTGTGCGTGTCGCGCGACTCACATGAGCCCCGCGGTCGACGCACGCGTCACAGCGACGGTGACGGTGACGGCGACGGCGACTGCGGCCCTACGTCGCGTGCCTTTGCAGCTTGTTTTTTTGTCCGTTCGGGGTGCCCGTGCCCAGCGAAAGGTGGGAAGGGGCTGGGTTTTCGTCTGTCCCCCAGGGGGCTAGTTCAACCCTTCCCCTGCGCAAATTCCTCGACTGGCCGTCTGGCGTTGTGGTTACTTTTGGCGGCAGCGCGCGAAAGTGTTACGATTTGGAAACTGACCGAACTTAGAAGTGGGTAAAGCAGTCGCCGACGCCGGGGTCAGGAGAGGAGGACGGCTATTACGCGCCAAAATTTAAGTCCTAAATTTAAAGTCACTAGTTTTAGGTTACCTCTGAACTAATCAACTAACGGCAAACTTTCACAACGCAAACTATCGCTTGCCAACATGAAATCTTGCCGTCAAGTTCAAGAGTTGGTTTATATTCTTAAAATATATAGTTTCGGTATTTTTGCATTAATTTTATTAATAAAGAATTAGCCTAGAACTCTGTAAGGATTTAGGGTACATACACAATTAAATCAAGTTAAAAATAAGCCCAATAAAATGAAAGCGCATTAAATTATTGAACAACTTTGGTTAACATGATATGACTACAAAAAATTTCTTAGCCACCTTAAAAAATTTGGAAAAAAGTTTAAACTATTAACTGGAATTGTGGATGCTCGACTGTGTTTTGCGCGGCTGCTCCTATAACTCAATGGGAACATATGCCCAGTGCTATATATAAACTTATCTCTATCGGCTGCGTTGGCTTAATCAGCCGCGTTGTTGTTCTATCCCTACTATCAGCAGAAAAACAAAACTTCTCACTTATAAATATTTATTGAAAACAAAATGATAAAGCCAATGGATCACAGCAAACAGCAACCGCTGCCGGGTGTAGAATAACAAACGGGACCGGTTAATTTCAGAGGGCGGGACCTATTTTTAAATGGATGATACGCAAATCTAAAGAAAAATTTAGATCTTGACTTGATAATTTTGTTAGGAACTACTGCATTTGAGGTGGGGTCACCTAACGGCCGAAATCTTTTCGACATGAGATTTTCTCGTTCACGGTGTCCACCATTTCGATGATGCGCTGTTGGTGCTCCAAAATGCCTTTGACTTCCAGAGCGGCCTGCTGAAGAGTTGGGCTGTGGGTTTGCCTGAGGTCGGTGGCGCTGTAGACCTTGATCAGATCGGAAGTCTTTTGTTCCCTGCCCACGAAAGTGCTGGGGCTTACACAAAGGATCCGATCGGCCACCTGGAGATCTGTCCCGGCAACAACCGCCATCTTGGGGGGTTGGCATTTCCACTCACAACCATTCAACGAGTTTCCGAAAAGTTTCGAGTGCGGCTTGTTCATTGTATTGTGTTAGATTTCTGTCGCAAAACTGTGCTTGAAAGTGAAACCGATTGACGTTTACTTGACAACTCGAGGTTAAGGAAAGTACAATTTCAGAGATTAACACTAAACACAGTTCGTTCAACTTCTTTCAACATGAGAGCCTCTTTTCTGATCAGCCGTAGAAAGCCGTGGAGGGGGCAGCTGCTTCTCATGGCCAGGAGCAAGGCACTCCCCCTGCTGCTGAAGCTCTACAGAAGGACCCCCATCTTCAGACCGCGACACTTGCAAAGAAGGATTCCGATCTGCAGCCGGGGCCCTGACGGCGTTGGTAGGACCAATCCCCCCACCGACGACATCGCCCTTTCTTGTCGCATATCCAAAAGTATTTCGCTCGGAGGGCTTGTGCAGTTGGATGTGTCAGGGGAGGACGAAGAGGAGTTCGTGGAGGATGAGGACATCCTGCAAGACCTGCAGGACCTGCGCCGGCAGGGCAACTTAGAGCTGGCTCTAATGGCCGGCGAGCAACTGGAGATGGATTCCGAGGAAGACGGGGAGCTCGACGACTACGACGACTACTGGGACAGGGAAGGCTACATGCAGTACGTGGCGTTCGCGGAGTGCGGGGGGAGGACGATCGACTGCAGGAGTGGGTCGAGAGGGATCTCGGGACTGAAGACACCCATGGCACTATGAAGGCCCTGCGGCTGGATTCCGATGGCCTAGGCTCTTCCACAAAGCGAGGCAACGTCGCCGTCTAAGCCATAAAGCCGTGAAGCCGTGAAGCGCGGCAACGCCGCACGGCCAACAATAGACACTCTCGTTTGGCGCCAACATGAACGACAACAATGTAAAACACTAGAGCACTCTGCTGAGAGGGCACGTCAAGTGCAGAGAGAGTCCGAACCCGGAGCGGAGAAGGGAGGAGGGGCGGCGGAGAGTGTGCACAAAAACATTTGCCGGCTGCTTAGTTTTTTTGCCGGTGCAAAAAGTCGACAGCGAGTGAACGCCGAAAGCTCACACTCTCCCTGCGATTTAGTTTCGCATTCTCATTCGCATTCAGATTCAGATTCCGATTTCGACCCTTTCACCCTCCCCCTAGCACTCCGGTACCCCACCAGCGTCATCACCATCGATAAGTCACACACGGCGTATACATAATCCAAATAAACAGCGAACTTCAAATAGTTGTTGCTCCAGCAACTGTTTTGTTTGCCTCTTGCCTAGGTCCAGGTGGACAAGGAAGAGCGTCTGCTAGTTCATTATGTTCTTGTTTGCCTCTCGTGGAACTGGCCAAGACCAAAGGTACTCGCCACTGCCACGGCGAAAGCTCTGTTTTCCTGGGGTTGGGCTGCCGTATCTGCTGATAAGACGCCCTTTTCCCCACCACCCCGCTCTGATATGCTTTAATCTTATCGCGAGCGAAAAGCGCACTTTACGGATGGTCCCCAGAGCGAATTCTGTTCGCCTTTCCGCCAAAGTAGTTGAGCCAAATATTAGGTCACACAAAAAGCCGGTTTCTGGCGTATTCGACTGTTCTTGTTGTTGGCGCTGTTATCTTGTGCAGAGCATGCATATGTGGGTGAGCGTTGTTCGTGTGTGAGCTGGCAAGCCGGTTTCGGCTGCTGTTGCTTTTGCTTTTGCGACTTTGTCGACTGTGGCTATGTAAATTTCAGCCGGCCCGCTCCCAGCGAAGCATACACTCCAAGTGCCACCAGAGAGAGAAGCAGGAGAAATAGAACGCAATTAATATGAATTTGGCAGGCAGGGCAGTCTTTGGGATTTCCCAGATGGCCTTCATCTAAATAAGCATTACTGCCGATTATGATGTTATGTGGTACCATCTCCAATGCTAAGTTAAACAGTGATTTAATCAGATACTCTAATCCAAGGTATCATAAGTATGCAATATTAAAGTTTGGTATTTGTTAATAGCCTAATCCGAAAATCTTTTTGCTACTCTCCTTTTTTTGTTTAGATCTATTTTTAAATTTCCTACGTTTCGAGAAAATAATCAGAAATGCTAGAATGCCTTGCAAGCAATGCTTCACGACTAAACCCTTTTCTTTTTAATGGCAAGAAGAAAAGTATTATATTATTTGGCGAAAATACTAGTCTATTCTACCCTAAAAATATTATTAGTGAACAATTCAAGATCAAAACCAGCCAATTTATGAAGTCAAGAACTTTTAAACTACATAAATGAGAGAGTTGTAGGAAATAACGAGCTTATTTCAAGTATGCGAACGCAGGGCTTGTTTCTTTTAAGGGAAAATAAATTTAGGAGCTTTAACCGGTTAATTTAAACTTACGTTACATTGACATACTTTTTTTTTAATAATTTAACCGAAAACTTAAACAACTCAAAAAGGACAGTAAAAAATTTAATTAATAATTACACTTTGTATTGACTTTTAAGTGTTCCCAAAACTTATAATTGTCTTCTTATCAACCTAAAAATCGAAAACTTTGGAACCAAGCAATTTTAAGTTTTTTAATGATATCCATAAAAATTTTTTAAGCTTTGAAAACCCAGACTTCGGAAAATAAGCCGGCAAATCTTATAATCACATTTTCAGGAACTATCTTCAAATATTCGTAACATGTTGAATACCCTATGTGAGCCATAAAAAGCGTTACAATAAGGCAGAACGTATCTGGCAGTTCAAAGCATTTAACTAAGGTTTGTAAATCTGTAAACCTCATTGAGCCAATTCCATTTGACCTAAACTTAACGTTAGTCTATGGGCACAGAGCATTGATATCTGGGGCTGAAATCTAAGGGTACCCAAATGGAGACCCGCCGCACAGGCACATATAATCGCGTGTGTGGGCATATAGACAGGCGATTACCATTTTTGTAATTTTCAGTGAAAAGGCTTTTAATTTGATGGGAAAACGTAAAGGAGTTGACCAGGGCCCGAAAAGCCCTCGTTCGAGGCAGGTTGCCCCGGGATAAATGCCAGCGCCACAACAACAGCGCAGCAGCACCACCAATGCCACCCACAGCCAGCAAGCAGTCTGGATTGGGGGCAGTGGCTGGCTGTCGCTCAGGATATGCAGATAACTGTAAATAACCGATTATATGCACATATATTTCCGCACCTATGTACCGTACACATTTTTATGTATGCAAGTATATCACGGCACATATGTACGGGGCAGAGTTTAAGCCCGTTGTCGTTGTTGTTGTTGCTTAATTTACAGCCTTATGTCACTTTTTGGTGCATTACACTTTTTCATTATCGCGCAGCAGCACCCAAAAACAGAGAGAGCGAAAGGGAGAGCAGCCCACTCCCACTGGCAGCCCCCCGGAGCCCTCTCGCTCTCTTCGCGTCGGCTGGCTATGGCCATCTCGTTCTGACAGAGTCCGAGGAAAAGTGAAAGAGGAGCAAGAGCACACATCAAAGGGAAATGAGTTTTCATTTAGTCCCACACAAAAGCGGAAATGAATCGAAATAAATAAATAAATTGCACCTGTCCCAGCCCACCGAGCCCCTTCGCTGCCCACACCGCACCCTCTCGCATTACATACGAGCCCCCTCCCCTCCCCATCCCACCCACTCACTGGTATGTCCCGAGAAATATTTTGCGCATGCGCAGAGAGAGACGGTGGGAGAATGCAGCGGTCATCGGCCGTCTCGCTCTTGCACTGCGTGCATTCAACCCGGCAGCGCACCTGAGCAGCCCACCGCCACCCACCGACACCAACTGCCACCCACTGCCGCCCAATGCAGTCAGCCCAGTCGAGTCGTTCCCGTTCCACTTCGAATTTCTCTTCGATGTCTCGTCCTTTTAGCCTTTTTGCAACGGAAAGCGCTTCTTGTTTGTTTTTCCCGGCGACAAGCCCCCGGTTCCACCCACACGCCCTCCGCTTTGTTTTGCTTTTGCCTTATCAAAGTTTGGCGCTCTCCGGCGCGCTTTCTAGTTGCCGACCCCCCCGCTGCCCCTCTGCCCCACCGACCCCTTCGCGCCTTTCGTTTCCAGTGTCGTTTTGTATTATGTTTAGGTTTTTGTTGTTTTGCGTTTGGCCGTTTTTACTTTGACTTTCATTCAAGAACAGTCTTCGTCGCGTCGGGAGTCGCCTCTTCGCGACACAGAAACGATGCCCGATGCCGCAGCTAGAAAATAGATCACAAAAGGGTTAACAAAACCTCGTCGAGGTCGGGAAACACAGGCGAGCACGCACACATTTCTAATGAAAATTAAAGCGAACCGAAGTGATGCCGCCAATTATTTAAGCCAGCAGCTATCTAAGAGCCTTAAAGCCCGCTTATAAGGGCTGAACAAACTTAATTTTAGCGGCAGTACAAGAGTAATGGGCCATAATTAAAGCTTTAAATAGCTTAATAGACCATAACTTCAGAAATAAAGATGTTCTAGATGTTACTATACAAAGCTGTCGGACTATTTGAGACTATTTCTCTTCGGAAAATGACTATACACTTAATTAAATTTAGACAAGATATATTATATTGATGAATTATTTTAGTTTGTTGCGTTCCACGATTTCTGTTTCGCATACCATGGCTAAGATCTTTTGTTTTGCACTTCAGTTAGTATTCGGAAAATGAAAACGGACGTCGAACACATCTCAATTTGACATCGCGACTCTAAGAATAATTTGCAGTCATTTTATTTTTGTCGAAAAAAGCGAACCAATTTTTGTTTGTTTCGAACGCGAGAGCGGAGTTTTCTAAACTAATTTTGTTAATCAGATGCATCGGCCAGCGCAGCTAACTAGCGGCAAAAACAAAACCACAAACACCAGCGGCAACAACAACAGCGACAACGTCGACGCCAGCGTAATAGAGAAATAGGATGGTCGAGGGGCGGGGAAAGGGGGGCGGCGGGCGATGAGGGGCGACTCTCTGCGGTTTAGGGCTGTAATAGGGGTAGTATTTGCATAATTTACATCAAAACACAACACACCCCCATTTGGCAAGGGCCGATGCTGTCCATTTGGACGGTTTCGAACTGTTCTCGGGATGCGCTTAGATTTAGTCACACACACATACACACACGTACACGGATACAGGCACAACCACACTCTCACGGCAGTCGGTGCACTCACTCATGCTGGGTGACTTTCCCTTTCGACTGAAAATCAGGAGAATTTTCCAACACAGAATCAAGTGGCGAGCCAAAGTTGTAATGTTGTACTAAATCAGGCAAAACAAAACTTATGCGACTAAACCGAAAATTTTGAATGTGTGTTGCTGTTGACAAAGCATTTTCGAAACTGATTTTGCCCCGACACGACGCACTGCCGCATTTGTCGCTGCCCAGCAACAAAAACTGCAGCCAGAAAAAACTCATTATGAGAGTCGTTCACCGTCGACGCAGCGAGCGCCCGGACACAAAAGTTGGCCGGGCTGAGGGGTTTGGGCCACGCACGTCAATAATTAGCAGCCCTATTAATGCGAAATCCGACCACCCCCAGCACTTTTCCACCGCCCAGTGGGTGCCGATTGAGTTTTGTGCATTTCTCTTATTTTACACATTAATTTATTCGATTATTTTGATGTTTGCGCATCGTCATCAGCATAATCAGCAACAACAGCCTGCGTCGACTGCGACTGCACTCGCAGCTGCAGTGCATTAATGCCTCCCCCAAACGCAGCCCATCCCCTCCAGCCGCGTCCCCAAAGTAGCCCGTCCATTGTCCCGTGGCTTTCGGGATGCAGATCTCCCACTGTGTCTCCGCCTTCCGTTTCATTCGTAGCACTGTGTTTTAATTCTTTTTTAGGTGCGTTCATTATTATTTCACTCGCTATCATTCACAGTCTGCGCTGGACCAAAGATCAACTTGTCGAATGCGTGAATGCTCTGAGTATGGAACTGTTATAGATTCTTGACAGCAGATATCGGTGGGTATTAATGGGGTGAGGTAGATAGGTTTCCTCGCAAGAGCCCTAAGAAACTTTCGTTCTCAGAAAATTAATTTTGAAAAATTATGAAATGAATTCTTTTCCATCATTTCCATTCCGTTTTAGTGGTTAAAAAGTTTGCCTCAACTACAAAATACCTCATAAATTAATCATTAATTCCAAAAGATTTGAATACTGTAGAAGAGTAATACTATTATTATTCAATACTTTTTCAGGGCACGCGTAAAAGACTTGCAGATGCATCTCGCTCAGTCGATAATAAAAAAGAAATTATAATACAATTTATTATTAATTTTTGCCCGTTTTTTCAGCTGCATTCATTCAGAGCCGCCAACCAACCAAAATGCAACCCAGCGCCTCCCAAGGGGGCGGGCCAAACTCAACCGCCCATCAGCAGCAACGCATTATTTTCGCGCTTGTTGTACTCCGCCGTGTACAACACTTTTATTTTCCATTTTTTTGCGTTTTATGCGATTTTATTGTCATTTTGCGTAGCCCAAACCAGGTACTCTACTCTCCACAGCCTCCCCAAATGGGGATCGAGTATATGGCTGGTAAATGAGCTGCGCCTGTGTTTGTGCATGCGCTATGTACTCGCGTCGAAATGGAAATTAGTGGCAAGCTCATCCATGGGATCCTAGCAAAGTGCAAAGAAGGGATCTGTATCCCGCCACTCGAAGGGCATAAATTCGCACGTTGCCCACAATCTGGTTACACATAAATCGACAGTACTTATGTACTGGACTACGTGTCTACGCAATAATTGAATGTTGCTGGGCTGATTTATCAGAGGTGAAGAGAATTATAATATATTTTTGCAGTTTTACCATTCCCCGCCGCATTACGTGGCAATATATAACTCAATCTACATCCAATCATTGCATATACATTAATTTAATTTATGTCCTTATCATAATTGCAGTGCACTGGCTTCGAGGGTCTGCATTAACTGCTTATACATCCCGCTATTGGCTAATTTCGAACAGGCATATGCTGATTGGCTCAATTCGAGAAGTGTTAATCGTTTTTGACTAGAATTCGTTTCGTTTTCGGCATTATTTAGCAAAAGTACAGTACCGGAGCTACCTGCTTTTTACTTGCGGAATCATTCAGCCCATTCGAGTTCTCAATATGGCGGTCGAATGATCACTTTATGAACATTTTCTTTATTCTACATAGAGCAGTTCGTGACATCCGAAATAATCTACAAGGGGGGAATGATCGAGCCGTGAATGTTGGAAATGGTATCCACTGCTCGCAAGTGTCAGGATGGCCGAGTGGTCTAAGGCGCTGCGTTCAGGTCGCAGTCTACTCTGGCGTGGGTTCGAATCCCACTTCTGACAATAACTTTTTGGCTCTGTGCGTTTTTATTTTGTCGTGGTTAATGTATTTTCAGCTCATAGCGTCGCTATACAAAAAATGCAACAAAAACACATTTTACATGCATCCCAGTGTACACACACTCGACGCTATTTGCTGCCCTTTATGTACACGCATTGTTGCCTTTCACAGCGAAAAAAGGAGCCCAGAAACCAAATTGATTTTTATACAGCGCTTCCAAATGTTTTTATTTAACAAACCACTTGCAACCCTTAAAAAATCCCCGGCGAGTTTTACATATGCGAGTTTCGCCGCTTCGTTTTTTAATGATGCGAATTCGATGTACGAAATTTTCATTAATGCCCCGTGCGACCTCCCCTTATTGGGCGGTAGTGGGAGTGCGAGTGGGAATGCGAGTGCGAGTGCGACAGAGACATGCAGTGGGGCTGGCCAGGAGCAGGGCCATCGTGGCTGTAGGCTTAAAGTGCGTCATGTACAGGTCAGGCCAGCGTCAGAGTAGGAGGACTGCCGTGGACATGGCGGAGCATATGCAGGCCCGTTCATACATACATAGGTACATGCACTCAGCTATGTAGTAAATAGACCCCGTGTTTATGCAATGCGGTTTACGGCCGCCAGCAGCCCGCACTCCGAACCGCTCCAGACCAGATCCTTGTTTGTCGCTGCAGTCCTTTTTCAAAAATAATTGAATGTTATATTCAATTAATTGTTCGTTAGTCGGCAGCACCTATTGCCATTCCCTTCAATGCAGCTGCATCCCGGCAGCGAAACAAATTGGCTGCAATCGCACCGCCCCTCGATGAACACTGCCTGATAGCTAATGGATAATGTGACCCCGTAATTGGATTATCGACGAGTGAATAGCCCGCCAAATTTACTGTCCTTCTGTCTGGCTGAACTTCAGTTAAGACACATCACTAGCTTATTAAGTAGAGAAGAGGAACCTATCATATGTCCTCGAAGTTATTGTCTCATGGCACATTCTATAAGAAAAATACATTTTTTATTTGCATCACTAGGCCTTGTATTGATTAAAAACTTGTGCTTTCACATTTTTATTTGACACCACTTATTAAGTTATATAATTAATAATTAGTGGTGTATATATAGGTAATAATGATAATATATACATAAGAAAAATATTTATTTAAATATTATTAAATGTAAATTTCTTGTAAAACTGCATGCTTTTATGACTGTAGATATGTTACATATTTTTTATAAAGATCAAGGGACTATATCATAAAGCCATCTACATAGCACCAAAGTTTTTATGTATTTCACCATCGTACGAGATAATTCATTCTGTCTCCGGAACTGTGTCGGATCTTGTAAGTGCTGTAATGTTGGGATTTAAGCCACACATTCTTGATATATGCATTCAGCTATAGTAATAACCCCTTACGAAGTTGAAGTCAACTTTTTTAATTTTTTAATTGTTTAAAAAGTTTGTACGACTGTATCATAAAGCTGGCATAGGAATCTCTGGAAATAATGAGAAAATCGGCATGCATAAATTCTGTTATTATGTCTAATATGACATAGGTAAGTATACATATGTACTTACTAAACTGGAAGTGCGTATAACCATCGGATTGGTCAAGCTGGATTTTTATACCCTTGCAGAGCAAAGTTTGCAACGCAGTGAAGGAGACACCTTAGACCCCATAAAGTATATATATTCTTGATCAGCATCACGATCAGAATCCAAATATGTATGTACGTCTGTCCGTCTGTCCGTCTGTCTGTCTGTCCGTTTCTCTTCAAACTAGTCGCTCAGTTTTAAAGCTATCTTGCTGAAACTTTACCAAAAGGTGTGTAGTTATTGCACGCAGTATATAAGTCGAAACGAGCCGGATCGGGCCACTATGTATATCGGATAGCTACCATACAAGAGGTCAAAAAAATAAAGGAAGAAAAATTATTACGCCGTTGTTTTTCGTCGAATGGACTTCTTCCAGATGGCGTTTTCTAATTACTATTGAATTTTGGATTCAATTTTATAAAAATCGGATAACTCTATCATATAGCTGCCATAGGAAAGATAAACAAATATATATAGAAATAATGGCAAAATAATCATAACGTTGTTGTTTTTTATTCCACGAGCATGATTTTTACAACATCGACTTTATGAACTACCCTTGAACCGAGAAAAAAATTTCATAAAAATCGGACAACTATATCATATAGCTGCCATATGAACAATAGTCGAAAATATGGAAAATTAATAGAAAAGTCGTCATAGCTTCGATGTTGTTAACCTTTATGTATTTCGGCTTGCCGAAGCTAGCTTTCTTTCTTGTTTCTCTTACTTTTATCAATATTATTTTAGGTTATTTTTTATAATTATTTATTTAAGGTTTTGGTATCATGATTCCTATGATATAGACTTCTGATCTCGGGCGTTTCGATATATATTCTACCTGAAATGTTAAAAGTATATTAAGGAGATTCTAGGGCTTGCGCGCAGATCGACACGTCTATATCGACACGGATGGCAAAGCTGATCAAAAATATAGACTTGAAAAGGTTGTCGAAAATTTTAACATTATTGAGCCTTAATTTTGTGAAAATTCTCTAATTGTGCATCTTGAGTCTGGTTTCTGGGATTCATAAGGAAGTTAAACATTTACCTAACTGAATAAGGGAGATTTCAGGTAAAAAATAAAAAAAACCAAATCAAAATATACATAGTGCGATTTCTTAAGTTTGCTGCCGTATTTACTTACCTTTTGGAGAGCTTAAAACCCAAGTGCCGCACTGGGCGCCCACTCATCTGCGCTTACGTATTTGAGCAGGCTGGATGCAGCACTAAAGCAGGAAAAAACAATGGAAACAGTAAAGTGCATTTTAAATTTTGTTGCTATCGATTTTTGCAGAGAGAAAGAGGCAGCGCGAGTGCAGGGTCCAAAGAGGGACAGGGACGGATAGCGGGCAGCTCCATGTTGGCGAGCACACACATCCC